GTGCGTGCCTAGACTGTAAGGTGATACCTGGGGAGAGTGTTGTACCCCAGCATAAGCTGGTGGTTGCTGACTTTCGCTTTCGGATTCGTGTCCAGCGGGATAAGCGTGCCAAGGTCGCTAGAACGAAGTGGTGGAAGCTCAAGGGGGAGGTAGCTCAGGTGTTCAAGAAGAGGGTATTTAAGGAGGGCCCTTGGGAGGAAGGAGGGGATGCGGACAATGTGTGGATGAAAATGGCGACTTGCATTCGTAAGGTGGCCTCGGAGGAGTTTGAAGTGTCCAGGGGAAGGAGAAGCGAAGATAAGGATACCTGGTGGTGGAATGATGATGTCCAGAAGGCGCTTAAAGAGAAGAAAGATTGCTTCAGACGCCTATACCTGGATAGGAGTGCAGACAACATAGAGAAGTACAAGATGGCGAAGAAGGCCGCAAAGCGAGCTGTTGGTGAAGCAAGGGGTCGGGCATATGAGGACCTCTACCAACGGTTAGGCACGAAGGAAGGTGAAAAAGGGACATCTATAAGATGGCTAAGATCCGGGAGAGGAAGACGAGGGATATTGGCCAAGTCAAATGCATCAAGGACGGAGCAGGCCAACTCTTGGTGAAGGACGAAGAGATTAAGTATAAATGGTGGAAGTACTTCGACAAGCTGTTCAATGGGGAGAATGAGAGTTCTACCATTGAATTGAATGACTCCTTTGATGAGACCAGCATGCATTTTGTGCGGCGCATCCAGGAGTCTGAGGTGAAGGAGGCTTTAAAAAGAATGAAAGGAGGCAAGGCGATGGGCCCTAATTGTATCCTCATTGAGGTGTGGAAAGGTCTCGGGGACATAGCGATAGTATGGCTAACCAAGCTTCTCAACCTCATTTTTCGGGCAAACAAGATGTCAAAAGAATGGAGACGGAGTATATTAATACCAATCTTCAAGAACAAGGGGGATGTTCAGAGTTGTACTAATTACCGTGGAATTAAGCCGATGAGCCATACAATGAAGCTATGGGAGAGAGTCATTGAGCATCGCTTAAGAAGAATGACAAGCGTGACCAAAAATCAGTTTGGTTTCATGCCTGGGAGGTCGACCATGGAAGCCAATTTCTTGGTACGACAACTTATGGAGAGATATAGGGAGCATAAGAAGGACTTGCATATGGTGTTCATTGACTTGGAGAAGGCCTATGATAAGATACCGCAAAATGTCATGTGGTGGGCCTTGGAGAAACACAAAGTCCCAGCAAAGTACATTACCCTCATCAAGGACATGTACAATAATGTTGTGACAAGTGTTCGAACAAGTGATGTCGACACCGATGACTTCCCGATTAAGATAGGACTGCATCAGGGGTCAGCTTTGAGCCCTTATCTTTTTGCATTGGTGATAGATGAGGTCACAAGGGGTATACAAGGAGATATCCCATGGTGTATGCTCTTTGCGGATGATGTGGTGCTAGTTGACGATAGTCGGACGGGGGTAAATAGAAAGTTAGAGTTATGGAGACAAACCTTGGAATCGAAAGGGTTTAGGCTTAGTAGAACTAAAACCGAGTACATGATGTGCGGTTTCAGTACTACTAGCTGTGAGGAGGAGGAGGTTAGCCTTGATGGCCAGGTGGTACCTCGGAAGGACACCTTTCGGTATTTAGGGTCAATATTGCAGAAGGATGGGGGTATTGATGAAGATGTGAACCATCGAATCAAAGCCGGATGGATGAAGTGGCGCCAAGCTTCTGGCATTCTCTGTGACAAGAGAGTGCCACAAAAGCTAAAAGGCAAGTTCTACAGGACGGCGGTTCGACCCGCAATGTTGTATGGCACGGAGTGTTGGCCGACTAAAAGGCGACATGTTCAACAGTTAGGTGTGGCGGAGATGCGTATGTTGAGATGGATGTGTGGCCACACGAGAAAGGATCGAGTCCGGAATGATGATATACGAGATAGAGTTGGGGTAGCACCAATTGAGGAGAAGCTTGTCCAACATCGTTTGAGATGGTTTGGGTATATTCAGCGCAGGCCTCCAGAAGCTTCAGTGCATAGCGGACGGCTAAAGCGTGCGGAGAATGTCAAGAGAGGGCGGGGTCGACCGATTTTGATATGGGAGGAGTCCGTTAAGAGAGACCTGAAGGATTGAAGTATCGACAAAGAGCTAGCTATGGCAGGGGTGCGTGGAAGCTTGCTATCCATGTGCCAAAGCCATAAGTTGGTTGCGAGATCTTATGGGTTTCACCTCTAGCCTACCCCAACTTGTTTGGGACTAAAGGCTTTGTTGTTGTTGTTGTTGTTGGCACTGACTGACATGCGGAGGAGCATCGCGTCCGTCCGTCGCCATCCCGCTGCATCCGGTAACCACCGCCGATCAACGTCGGGCGGGCCGTGGCGAGACAAGTCCACACGGTTACGATCTCCCCATCATTTCACCCCACCTCACCCCAAAGCGTCCATGGCAATCAATCGATAGGTTGTTGGTTCGGGGGCGGGTGAAAAGAGAGACAGGAATACTTTGCTTCCCCTCCGCTGGGGCAAACCCGAACGAAAAGGGTCTTCGTCAGCCGAGGAGAGAGGTTAAAAAAAGGTTAGGGAGGGGAGGCCGGCGGAGCGCGAGGGGCGACGCGGTGTGGCGCCGGGGACGGATGCTGTGGGTCACGGTTATAAAAAGTAACGGGGCGCGTCGCGGGTAGAAAGCCAGGGGAGGGTGCGGTGGGAGGCAGGCCGCGGCTCATTATCTCTCCCTTCTTTCCTCCCTCGCAACATTCCCCGCCGCCGCCCGCCGCCGCCACGGCGACACAATCACCGGCGCTGCGCCGCCCCACCGGCCTCCTCCTTTGCGCCGCGCCGCGCGGGGCTGGGCTGAGGTGGGCCGCGCCGACACGCTGCCGCTGCAGCGGCACGTGGGGAGCCACCACCACCACCACCACCCTATGCTCCTTTGCCCGCCTGGTAAGGTATGGCATCGATTCCGCTCCATTGCCCCCCGCCTTTCTCGCGTCGCGCTCCGTCTCCCTCCCTCCCCGCTTTGCTTGCTCCAGGCGATTTGCCCCGGATCTGTGTCCCAGGCGCCGGATCTGAGCGGCCACCGGGCATTCGCTCCAATGCGAATCCATGTATAGGTTTGTGCCTCGCGGTGCCGCGGTAGCTTGTTTTCAGGATTATACTGGGGTGCTTTTTTGTTTGGATTTTTCGTCCTTCCTTTTGTTGTCTGATTTAGATTTTTCTGTTTGCGCGGAAAGGTTCCTTTTTTCTCGTTAAAAGGCGCCTTTTTTCTTCCTATAGATGAGAAAAATCTATGTGTTTTTGTGCCTGCAATGTAAATTGTGATTGAGGTGGCAATACAGAAGTTTGAGAGAGAAGCTCAGAAAAATAAGGTAGCAATGCAGGCGTCTTCCCATTGGTTCCAACCCGAGGCGATATTTTGAATTCGGAGATGTTTCTATATGTATGGATTTTGCTACGATAAAACCGTTTGAGCCAGTAATGAGATAGCAACATTGTTTTCCAACTTCCATGTTTCAAGCAGTGGTATAGCTTGATCACCATGCCAATTGAGATGCCGGCTCGTTATTGCGATTGATGAATAGCATCATTGATATCGATATGGTTTGCAATGTCCAGCTCCACCAATATTATAGACTTCTACCCTGATATTAATGTATGCCTAGTATTATGTGATTTAGGTAAAAGAGTGCTATACCTGATTCTGATATTTCCCTGAGAACTATGTTTCATTTTGTGCGTTAGTGTTGGTTCTAGCAACACGTGGGCCGTAAATTACTACCCACTTAAAATGATTCAATTCAAATTTTTGCTGTGTACATACCCCCATATATCTTAGTATATTAAAATGGATGCTTTAAACTAGATTTGGAAATGTTGCTAAGTTTGTGTTGTTTTCTGATAGAGATCGTCAGTCGACTGCGTTATATATAATCCAAATGGTTCTATGCCGTATTGATGTTCATGCTTCATGTAAATGATTCTTGTTCCTTTTTTTTGAGGGTGATTCTTATTCCTTTGGCATACACTATACCATGTCATCGAGCGCAAAAAGTGTTATAATCGACCACATCATTCTGATTCAAATACATTGTATCAGATTGCACCAGCAGTGATCTTCGGAGTTTAAAGTGTTCATCAAAGACATGGGAAAAGTGGTCTTCGGGGCATATCACCTTCAATGCAAGCTATTTGTTTCAGAAGAAACTTTTGATTGGCGTGTTTTAGCTCGTGGGAACACCCAACTCTTCTCTCTGGTGAACTGCACATAGTAGTTCTATGCTCAACGACAGCAGGCTGAGGCGATCCTGAAGCGATACTCCAGTCTATGCTCCACATCTACATGTAAAATACCTGCTTTGTTTTTCCTTTCTTTTGTTCTATTGGCTAAACTTTTATCATCTCATTTTGCATTCTCTATTTATCAGCGCATCATCTCCAGACTAACTTCTTATTGTAGTCAAATCCAGTAGTAGATGCTGATCATGTAAACTGGCCAATGATGTGCTCGTAGAATAATTAAATTCTACTATTGGGAGTTCAAACTGTTCTTTCCTGCATGTATTGGCATGTGAAAAACTAAATCAACCATATCTCTTGAAACATTCTGAATTTCTTTTCTCTTTGCTAATATATGCAGGGTCAACCATCTTTACTGCATTCAGTCTCCATCTGTCACTCCCTAGTTAGTTGCCATTTGCTTTGCTGTATACCATCTGAGGTCAAGGCTCATCCTTGCTATATTCTGGGACTCTACTATGATTGCTGTGGGATCTTTGTGAGGGGACCAAATCCAAGACAGCACAAGCTAGTGGAGGCCCACTGTTCAATTGACGGATCATACATCTGTTCGTGCGAACTGATAGACAAGATATTGGTCGCTTAGACTTTGAAACACTTCTCTGTGCTTGTTGTTGATTTTTCTTGATACCTGGTTGTCCCAAAGGAAAAGGCTTCTTGATACCTGGTTGTCCCAAAGGAAAAAGCTTCTATCACGCAACAAAATTACCGGAACAATGGATAGGTAACCCTTTTTGTAATTTTTTCTCCTCTGGATAACAGTTGTATTGAATTCCTGTTTTGGGTTTGCATTTTTCTTAGAGCGCCTTATTTTTGTAGATTCAAGTTGATTAAGGAAGTTGGTGATGGGACATTCGGGAGCGTATGGCGCGCTATAAATAAACAAAATGGTGAAGTTGTACGTATCCTATGATCACTCTTGCTATCTTTGCCTGAACTGTGAAACAATGAAGTTGACGCAATGTTTCATATTAATCTAATGTAGGTGGCTGTTAAGAAAATGAAAAGAAAATATTATTCTTTCGAGGAATGTATGAGTTTACGTGAAGTAAAGGTACTTTAGCCAGTCATGTACTCGTCGCTGATGTTCTCTAGCATGTTACTTTCGTTCAAATAACATTTCTTTCTTTATTGAAGTCTTTGCGGCGCATGAATCACCCTAACATAGTGAAGCTCAAGGAGGTCATAAGGGAAAATGATATATTATACTTCATAATGGAATACATGGTACTTAAGCACGTGATTGATAACAAAGTTTAGAACTACCCCATATCATGCTTCTGTTGAATATTGTCCATTGTTTCATTTAGGAGTGCAATCTGTACCAACTTATGAAAGACAGAGTCAAGCCTTTCGCGGAGTCAGATGTCCGTAATTGGTGCTTTCAGATTTTCCAGGCTCTTGCTTATATGCACCAGAGGGGATACTTTCATCGTGACCTCAAACCAGGTAGGATTTCTTATGTACTCGTCTACCCCGTGCCCTGTATTTTTCTAGCAGCCAAATTAATTGGAAGTCTGACATTAGTGTACTGTGAGTTGTTTGTTAAAGCCTTCTAGCAGCTATAGGCGTTCTAGTTTTGCAGATCAACTGATGCATTTTTTTCATTCATTCATATTTTATTGTTTTATTAACTATATTGCTATACCATTCCAGAGAATCTGCTGGTCAGCAAAGATGTCCTAAAGCTAGCAGACTTTGGTCTAGCGAGAGAAATTTCATCTGCACCACCATACACAGAATATGTGTCAACACGCTGGTTAGCGTCGCTCCCATAGCCCCACCACACAGAGAACAACAATGATATACTTTTTCTTGAACCCCATGTGTTTCAATTTCTTAGGTACCGAGCACCTGAAGTATTGCTCCAGTCATCTGCTTATGATTCTGCAGTTGGTAAGAACCTACTACTGTCTACTTTGTGCTTGCCTACACATGCTTCCAACTAATAAATGGACCTTCTTCATAACTTGGTAGATATGTGGGCAATGGGTGCCATAATGGCCGAGCTGTTGACACTCCATCCTCTTTTCCCTGGCACAAGGTAATATGGTTTACCATATCTTCTGCTATTGTGACTGGCACTCTCTGCATACTTCGTATGATTGTGTCTGTTCTTTTCCCCTCGTAGTTACCGTCTTTGATCACTTGTTTCTTCTTTCACTGTATAGTGAAGCGGATGAGATTCTCAAGATTTGCAACGTTATTGGTTGCCCAGACGAGCAAACATGGCCCCAGGGATTGTCTCTTGCAGAGGCGATGAAGTATCAGTTCCCACAGGTCAATATTCATGTTTCCTTGCCTATAGTACTTTTGTTGTGATTCTCCGGGTCAGCAATTCTTGTGTAAGCAGTATAACTAATATCTGTTATTTGAGTATCTGTAAGTTACTAGCATCTGTGAGCTGTGTTATTTCCTTCGTCGTCGTGCATTTTATGCCCTCATGTTAATCCTATGGGTCCTGTTTTCTTGAGAATATCAGGGCTGCTTCACTTTGCATATTGTGTAGCCTTCACACCTTTTTTAGTGTTATGCATGGTTTATGCAGTGCAACTCTGTTAGGTTTGAAACAAGACACGAGTCAACATCTTGTTCTAACTTGATTCATGACTTTAACCTAGATTATGTGTGATCTTGTGCACTATGAATGCACATGAATACTTGTTCAGGGCTTAATTTAATAATCTCGGGTGGTTCTTTGTATATGCAGATCAGAGGCAATCAACTGTCGGAGGTAATGAAATCAGCCAGTAGTGAGGCAGTTGACCTTATATCCGTAAGTCCTTCAAATCTTTTGTCCTAGATGACATTCCTGAACTCATTGGATTTCCTAATTTTCCTTTTCCTTCTACATCTTGTAGTCTCTGTGCTCATGGGATCCTTGCAAGAGACCAAAAGCCGCGGAAGTTCTCCAACATGCCTTCTTTAAGGTAAAACTATTATTCCGATTGCTATGTTGCTTTGTCTTTGCTCTGGAGACTGATTGGTTTTCTTGTTGTTATCCAACCATTAGGATTGTACTTATGTTCCAGCTGCTGTCCGGCCAAAAGCTGCAGGTCCCCCTAAAACTCCTCCGGGTGGTTAGTATACACACTTTCGCCCCATAGCCTGTTCGTTCCTAAAGCCCTTGTTTTACCATGATTGGTCCATTTGTTTCAGTTGGAGTAAGAGGAGTTTCAGGACACATTGCTCGGAGATACTCCACTGGAGCTCTCTCCACAAGCAAACCTGCTGCAAACATATCTATAAAACCGAGCAGCTTATCTAAGATCGGTAATATATATATTATCTCTTTTCTTGAAGTACTCATAATTAACTAGCATTACCGTCTATATTGTAAATCTGTTTATCCATCTTCCAGGTGTGCAAAGAAAACTTCAATTGGATCGTCAGGCACCACAGAAGAGTACACGGCCCACTGAGAGTAACACCAAACAAACTACTAGTCGAGTACTGGCAAGGAATAGCCCAGGCAAGTTTCCTATATAAAGCTGCTTTGTGAAATTTCGATCCCAAAGCTTGTGGTCTGATCATGAAGATCTTTTTTCTTTCTTTCACTGGAACCACAGGGAACGCGAACCCGATATTAAGGCATTCACGCAGTTTACCTGAAACTGGCCGGGCAACGGTTCAGAAGGTTTCGAGTATCACCGAAAAGCTTGCTCATATGTCTGTGACCTCTCGAACACGCACGGCTGTGAAGCCCCCTGTCCCGCTGTTGAAGGCTGGGCATCTCAAGTCAGACTTCCTCGGGAAATCTGACGAAATCCCTCCGGCAAAGAGATTGACAAGAAAGTTGGTGAGCTAAAGGAGTATAGAGTGAAGAACCGATCAGCTGCAGCGAGGCATGTAAGCTACAGAGCTAAAACCAGGTTTGCCTCGGCGCCAACCGTGTGTTTGGCCTGTTCATGGTCCTTGCGGTAGTTTCCTCCCCCTGCTTGCTTGGTCCAGGTGCCACGGTAGAGAATGTGTTGCGAATGTGCTCGAGCCTGCTGACCTTTCCCTGTACTGGGGTGTGGATTTGCCCATGCCCCGAGTTTGTCCCGTGTATGAACAAAACATGTGTGGTCTTGGTTTGGTTTGTGATCTAGTTTTCTCAATCGTTCATATCGCAGACCGTTGTCCTGTTCATGTGCAATCTAACAGTCGACAAACCCTCCAATGAAGAGGATAATTTGGCTTCGCTTGTACAGCTTGCGAAATTTAATAGAGCACGTTAGTGTATCCTGCCTGGTCAAATTTTAAATTTGTTTGGTAGTCTGTTCGTATTTTTCGTTGCACCATGACAAATCCCTTGCATTTTCAAAGCTTTTATGGTCTCTTTGTTTGTTTGTTTTTTGCATTTGCATTTGCTATTGGTGAGTTTGCCTGAAAATTGAAATGGTGCAGTCAATTTTTAGTCCATTCGATCCGAAAAAGGATTGGGGTTCCACTGTCAAATGATAATTGTGCAAGTCCAAGGATATTGCACCCCTCATTCACACCCCGTCCTCATGGAAAAATTGCAAGGTGCATGAGGCTAAGAAAAATGCTTGGATCTATAAAATTAAGCGCTCCCAAGGAAAATGCTTGGATCTATAAAATTAAGCTTTCCCATGATTTCTCCTGGGCTCATATCGGTGAGTTCGTTGACCTTGACCTCACCGAGGATGACATTGTTTGAAAGCATACAAATGATGATCTTTACACAGCGACTGCTGCACATAAACCGCAATTCTCGGTAACCATCTTATCCCCTATGGAGCACACGGTTTGAAAGCTTGGGCCCCTCCCAAGGTCGATTTTTTGTGTGGCTAGCTATTAAGTAAGGGGTTGGATTGCCGACCGCTTGGCCAAGCGTGGATAGCCAAATTGCAGCCCTTGTCCGCTTTGTAAAAGGAAGGTTAAATCCAGGGCTCACCTCTTTTACAAATGTCGCTTCGCGCTTTGACTTTGGAGCCCTTTCTTCGACTGGCTTCATCTTGAGACCTTTGATACCTTCTTATGACACTTGTAGCACTATGTTAAGGATTCGGTGAATCAACCTCTCAGACTGAACACCCAAATAGAAAGGCCATGGCGTCTCTTGCAATGCTTGTGTGTTGGAAAATTTCTCAAATAGAAAGGCCATGACGTCTCTTACAATGCTTGTGTGTTGGACAATTTCCCAAATAGAAAGGCCATGCAGTCTCTTACAATGTTTGTGTGTGAACAATTTGGAACGAGGCCAAGCTCTGAGTCACTGCAGGTGCCAAAAAATTAGGATCAATAATGCCCGAAGAGCAATCATTTTATCTTGTAAGGCTGGTCTCCTCTTAATTAATAGATGAGACAAAACTTATGCATCCATTTAATAAAAATGATAATTGATGCAAGTCGATTATTTGGGAGAAGAAAAAGAAGGAAAGCTCTGCCCTGAGGCCGAGCCGGGGTCAAGCACTAGCCAGAGATAGGCAGAGCCTTGACATGGGCGAAGAAAAAGGAGGAAAACTCTATTCTCCTTTTTGAAGCATATATTTTGTTTTAATTGCCCAGACCTTCACAAATGCCATTCCATCACAAATTTGTGCACAGCTGAAACATTCATCAATGTTTATCTTAATTTTTGTTTCAGATTTTTGTTTTTTTTGTTGTTATTTCCCCCTCCAGTTTTTACTGTTCATCTGGGAGCATGTGAGCTCATGAAGTTTTGCATGAGTTGAAAACCTCTCGCTCTGAAGGAATTATGCTTCAGTTGGACTTTGAAAAAGCTGAGACTAGAAACTTGATGTCCCTGGCACATATTTCTTTTCCAGGGAACTTACCAACAGTGGCTCCTTTATTTCCCCCCGTATTTCTTTCTGTTTCTTTTGCAGGGAACTTACCAACAGTCGCACATCGAAGGAATGCTTCACACAAAGCAGGTAAAAAAAGAAGAAACAAACGAATCACAGTGTTCAGCAAGATACAAACCGATCCCAAAAAAAGAAAGAACCGGTAACTATCCGGTAAACACATTTTACACGAGGCGCAGCAGCCTGAACCATCAACCTGCTGCCTCTCAAGACGAATGAACTAACGGCAGTAGTACTAGATTTAGTACAGTAAGTATCACACCATCACCATCACTCTAACCTACGACTCCCTCCGGGACCCGAGTCACCTGACGTACGTACGTGTTAGCTGGCTGCTTCAGTGTGTCTCGCTCGCTGCTACAGATACTGCGTGTGTATCCGGTCCCGGTTCTGCTCCCACCACACCTTGGCCCGCTCCTCGCCGAACCGCTCCCGGCTGCAACCACACAACACCATCGGTCGGTTAGTCGAGTTCACGTGAGCGCGCGAGATTCGGCAACAGCAAAGGTGATGGTCGGCCAGCGGTGGGCGTGCCTGAAGCGGACGCGGCGGAGCTCGCGGGTGCCGTCGCCGAGCTCGCGGATGGTGATGTGCACGCCGGGCTCGTCCTGCTCCACCCACTCCGTCGCCTCCAGGTCGCTCGCATTGCTCACCGACACGGACGCCTCGTCCAGCGACGACGTGGTGGCGCGCGACGGGTCGTAGGGCGGCGGGGCGCCCGCGCTCAACGGCATCGACGACGCGCCCGCGGCCGAGTTGAGCATGTTGAAGTGGTGCGCCCACACGTGGTCGGACGGGTCCGGCACGGCCGTGGACGGGTGGCACGCCGCCTTGTACGACGTGGTCCGGGTGATGGGCCGCTCCCTGCTCGCCGCCGTCGCGGACGGCGGCAGCACCACCGGGCTCTCCCTCGTCGAGCCGGCGCGGGAGTAGAATGACTCTCTCTGCTCGCAATGCAAACCCACGGTTTCAAATGATGGTCAGCACGCCGATGAGACGAGAGGACGACGTAAAAAGATATGGCTGCAGGCGACTGACCTGCATGGCGTCGTCGATGGAGGACGACGGCGTCGAGAGGCCCTGCTGCCGGAACGTCTGCACGTTGTACAGCTCCACCACGCGGTCGTAGTTCTCGCCCCACCACCGCTGCGCCTCCCACTTGTTGAACATCTCCCGGCTGCAAATTTTTGATGTTGCTTCATCAGTTCATCATTATCACTCAGTCTCTACTCACGATACCGGCATCGAAGCATCGATCGATCGGCACAAACCTGAAGCGGATGCGCTTTAGGTCGTTGCCGGCGCCGCCGGGGATGGAGACGAAAGTGATGTGCACGCCGGGCTCCACCTGCGCGGTCCACTCCCTCGGCACGCGGTCTTCCTCCAGGACGACGGTCTCCTCATCGTCTTCTTCGTCCTCCTCGGCCTCCTCCCCGATGCTCGGTATCCAGCTCGCGCTCGGGTTCCTCCCGTGCGGCTGGAAGCCATTGTTGATCTTGGGCATGTCCCACGTTGTCGACGGGGCGGTCGCGCTCGACGTTGTTCTCGTGTAGCTGTACGCCTCGCCGGCCCCGTCGGACGTGAAGCCCGAGTCGTCGATGATGCCCGGGTACGCGGCCAACCGACTGGAGCGGTGGAAGCGGTTGCCCCTGAAGGATGGGCTACCGGTGGCCTTGTAGTGCTTGCCGGAGCCGGAGAACTTGAGCACCATGTCCTTGAGCTGGAAGCACATTTGCAGGAGCTCAGTCAGTCAGTCAGTCAGATCACCAATTAATGTAATGTAATATACTCATAGCAGAGAACACAAAATATCAAATGTGACTCGCATTAGTAGCAGCATATACTGGTATACAAGCGAAGGGAACATATTAATTAATAATCAATTAAAATGCTTGATTAGGACCCAACAAAAGAACGGCCCAAAGGAACGCCACGTTAGCTTGCCGGGGTGTAGGTGTAGCTGAATATTCAGACACACATTTCTTCCAACAACATCTGTGTATCAGTGTCACGAATCTATTCCCCCCCGCAATCAAACGTCTCACTCCAGTGTGATACCATCCATCACAGTTTTTTTTTTTTGAGAATCCCATCCATCACAGTTAGTAGTACTACTTTTATTCTTCATTCTGAAAAAGTTCTCGGGAGAGAGGTACAAGCTCCGTGTTCATTTGCTAGTTACAGTTAGTCACCGCCACCACCAATACTATTCCCTCCGTCCCAAAATTCTTGTCTTGTATCTTGGCAAATCTAAGACAAGAATTTTGTGACGGAGGGAGTACATCCAAAATGGACGGCTCCGCCTGACTCAAGAACCACAGGGTGGAATCATCATGATTACTTTTAGGTCTAGATAGAATGTGCCCTAATTTTGTTCGCGAGATCAAGCATCAAGAGCCTAGTGCGCGATAATTAAGTCTTTAAGCAAAGCTTCAATGATAACAGCGGGTGTTTAATGATAGATGCTGTTGTAACTAGTAGTAGTAGGAACTAACCAGGCAGCACATTTTTGCCTAGCAGAAGCCTAGAAAGCACAAAGGAACCAAAGGCCAAGCGCACCACCGTGTCCTAATTAGTCCAGCGAGGACATCTTTGGTCTGAAGCAAGGAACAAATAAGCACTTGCGTACTAGTACTCCAACACAAAACGGTGCCGTTCATGATCAGCCAGAGGGGAGGCTGCCATAATGCATGCCGCGTGTTGCTTAAGATCTGTACTTAAAGATTGCAAAAGCCAAAGCGTGCAGGAAGCCAAGGTGTAAGGAAAGGACAGTGGTAAACACTCGAGGCTTGCCATGATAAGGCAGAGATGGTTGGATGGTGCAGGGAGAAAGAGGCCCGGGCTGGGCCTAGCTTAGCCAAGCCCATGTAAGGACCACGGAATGAGTGCTACTACTACGGGCTACGGCCCACCTTTATTCCTTGCGTGAGCAGCAACATACACATTTGGAACTCATATTAAAGAAAAGATAGAGTATTATAGTATTGGCTTGGAA